TGTGTGTGTGTGTGTGTGTGTGTGTGTGTGTGTGTGTGTGATTGTTTCAATTTCTTAAGACCATGAAATAAATTTTTTAAAATCCTTAAAAAAAAGAAGAAGAAGAAGAAGACAACAATGACGAAATCATCTGCCTCTTCTCTTGCCCATGGGAATTTCCCTGGCATTTCTGGAGAAAATAATACAACTATGATAGAAGAGAAATGGGAAACTTGAGCAGTTTACCAAAGGGAAGGGCAAAGTCTTTAGTAAATTACCTCTCACATGAAAGATGGTTAGAGGTAGAATTAAGTGTGTTTCCTATAGCCTGGCAGTGGATGTTTAAGCCAACATAGAGTTATATATTTTATGTACCGAGAGGCAAGCTTGGCCCCCGGGAGCCATCAACTACCGAATTAAATTTAATCACCTATGTTCATTTATTATAGATCCCCAAAAGGCTCTTAGCCATGGTTCTGGGTAGCTGTGTTAGTTTCCCTTCAGGTTTTTCCTAACTTTTTAACCTTGTGGCTATTTTTCTTCTCTCCCACTTTATTCATTTCCACTTAAATGTGCTTTTTCTTCCCTAAAAAAATTGTGGCCACAAGTATTTTGAAAGCTGAAAATTACAGGCAGTGAAGGGGCAAATTTTAATCGAGTACCTTAATTTTTCAGTGAATGTGTAATTTGGGGAAAATATCTGATGTTATCACAGGATCACCGAGAAATAATGAATATTCTTCTCTGTTAAAAATGCAGTTTGTTAAAGGTCTGAGGAGTAAAGCCGAGAGCACTGGTGTGCTTAGATACATTGAGGTGGCAGCAGCACAATGGCCACTTAGCTGTAGGTCATGAGTTTTCATTACCCTCTTGATAACCAGCAAATTCACCATCACCCTGCCCCTTCCCCTTACACAAGAAAGTCACTGTTTTATTGCTCTCTTATGGACTCCAATGAATGAACTAAATTGTTTTCAAATTGTTCAAATAAGTGTTCCTTATTTTCTTTCAGCTCAGTCCAGTTTGAAGTTTTCCATCCATAGCAATTATTTTGCTTAACACAGAAGTAAAAGGCATTTGTCCCATGTCTTAAATAATATGGACATCTACCACACTAATTCATCCATAGATTCATTCAATATAAACCTTGCATGTATAATACTTGATACATAGTAAGACACAAGTTTTGCATGCAAACTTACAAATATCGCAGCCAAAATCATTTTAATGAGTAACATCATATAGTAACTGCATGTTCAAAAACAAACAAACAAAAAAGAGCCATTCCTCTTGCCTCAGAGTGGGTAGCCAGCTTTATGAAGTTACTAATGTATAGTTTGAGTGCAATGGAATAGTTGGGTACATTCCACCAAAAAGAAAAATGAGTTTTTATGAAATGTGATCTAATGATATATTGGTGAATATTTAATTTTTTATTGAATGTTACAGTAAAAGACACATTGCCACCCATGTTTTTAATACTCCCTCGACCTTCTAACACTCCATCCTTCATGCCACTTTCTGAAGCCGATCTGGAAGTTCTCTTTCATGAGTGTGTTTCTGTGGCCACCTTGATATTTTGAACAGAGTTAAAACTTTACAGCAATTTCTGTCAACTAAAACTATTACCTCGTGCCCTCATCCACCTCATTCAACAGGTCTAGCACTGTATGACTTCTGACTCTTCCCCAGAGTCAAAAGGACCATGAACGGTAAATATTTTGAATCAATTTAGGACATTCAGGTAGCCAAGACAACACAATTAAATACACTCATGAAAGGGGACATCCAGAAATGTATCAGAAAGTGCCAGGTACCATGGAATAACTGTGTTCAAAGTAAGGAGTGGGTATTTGGTGGGTAGATTAATAGTAATGTGTCTTTAACTGCAAAAAAAAAAAAACTTTTAAATTTTTATTTAAAAATGCACCATATTTTTTATCATATATCCTTGCATATGTAAGTGTGGTACATGTGTGGATGAATGTGTGTGTGTGTCTGTCTGTGTGTGAAAGAGAACAGGAATACAAATTTAAGAAAGTAGTGTATTATAATGCATTATGTGTTTAGAAAATCTCCAATAGTCTTATATCCAGAGAAGTCGCAGGGCTAACTAAATTCTTTATGAAGCATCTATATGGTAAGTAAGAAAAAACAGTAGACTGTTTAAACTGTGCAGAAACAAGACATTACATGTATACTCTAATTCATAAAAGAAGTTGCGTCTAGAGAGCTCTTGTCAACTCTTTCAGAAAATATATCTGGACATTGTAAAGAGAAAGAAAATGAGAGAAAACAAAAAGTGAGAGGGAAAAATAAGTGAGAGAAATAAGAAGTTTCCCTCAAGAAATGCAGCAGCAATCCGATCAATGTATCATTCACTTGAATCACTGCAAGTATTTAACTGAGTAGCAGCTCATGTTGTATTCAACAAATGTTTATTTTATTATAGAGGAAATTTTTGAAATAAATTTATCAAAGTACTGTCTGTTACTATCTCTGGAGGTAAGGTCATAAGTACTCATTTAATTATTCTAGAGTTTCAGTTATTAAGGAAATACTACAATCACAAAAATCTTAAAAGAGAAAAGACAGGATGAAGGGAGGAGAGAAGTTAGGGTGGGCAGCTGGAAGGGAGAGAGAGGAGGACGAAATGAAGGTAAGAAGAAATGGAGGACAGAAGGCAGACAGGAAGGAAATTACCACGAACTCCATGAATTAGAAGATTACTTTTAATCATTTGAAGATCTTTTCAATAACTATAGACTCTGTAAATTCTACAATATTTTCCTACCATGAACTAACATTTAGTGTGAAAATCAGAAAGCAAAAGCGTTCATTATTTTATGATATGCCTGAAAAGATTTAGAGATAATAATAATAATGATAATAATGATAATAATAATAATAAAGTTGCACAAGTATAGGAGCTCAGTGACTGCTGAAAGTAAAAATTAAACTTTGGTGACTATTTTAGCCTCTATACATGGATTGTATGAATTGTAGAACTGCGCTGTGTGTGAAGTTAGTCATTTTTTTGAACTCTTGATGGTTCATTGCTTATACTTCCAAATAATATCTATAATGTGAGCTACGTCAGAGGCTAAGGCAGGACAGTCGCGAGTTTGAGGTCAGCCTAGATGATATAGCAAGATCCTATCTCAAAACAAAGAAGGAGTGGGGGCCCCGAATGTAGTTCAGTGTTAGAGAGCCATGGGCTCAATTTCCAGTACTGCAAAAGAAGTGGCAGAAAAGTGGGAAAGGTAGGGGAAAGCCAATAAGGGAATAGAAAAAAATAGGAGAAAATGAAAAAGTGGAAATAAAGTGTGTGTAAAGGGGGAGGGGAGGAGAGGGTGAAGGGAGGGCAGGGACAAGGGGAAAAACGAGAACCAACATCTGTCATGTAAAGGCACAAGATCCCAATGATGAATGTAACTGT